CACAGCAGCCCCCGCTGGCTCCCCTCGCCAGGCGGAGGTTGGGTGGGCCTGACTCCACAGACCAGCGTGGGGCAGGAAGAGCACAATGATTGCTCCAAGTGCCCACTCTGATCCGCTGGCCGGGCTGCCTGGAGCACGGTGCTGGGGATTCTGAAGCCAGATCTGAGCCCAGGAGCATCATGAACCATGCCAGGATCTGCCATGGACACGGAGTGGGAGAGCACCTGTGCAGGGATGAGCCACGCCCACCCCAGGGTCAGGGCTCTCCACAACCAAACAGGTCAGCTTCTGTTTCAGGGCCCCTGGGCCACTTCCTCCCTCACACATTCCTGGGAATCACTGTTCAGCTATGAGTCTCAGGCTTGGCTCTCGCCACCCGCATTTCCCCCTCCCCGAGGGGTCCCAGTGCCCTGGCTGGGGTGAGAGATGCCCCCGCCGGCTCACCTTGGGCTGGAAGGACACTCGGTGCCTGGCGGGCTCCGCCTCCGGCTTGGCCTCCTCCCCGGAGTCCTCGCTGTAGCTCTCAAACTCGCTGGAGCTCCAGCCTAGGTCCTCGGCCTCCCTGGGCGCCCCGTCCTGGCGCACATCCTCGTACAGCAGGCTCCTCTCCGCCCCTGCTGGCCAAGGGACAGGCAGGTGAGCGGAGGCCCCAAGGCCAAGTTCACCAGAACCCCATTTCTGAACCCAGGTGCGTAGGTGGGGGTGGTACGGGTGCATGTCGATGGGCCCTGGAGCTCCACCTCCACTTCCTTGTCTATACAGCAGAGTGATGACAACACAACAGCCACCCGGTAAAGTGAGGCGGACACGAGAAGGTGTAAAAAAGCGCAAGAAATGTGTCAGGCACCCGACAGGCTCACTGATTGCCTGTCGTTGTCAGCATTACTTTTCTGGGGTCTGGGTGCTCATCCTGAGCCTCCTAGGCATTTTTTAATAGAAAAGAGAAGACAGCTCTAGCCTATTTGGCTCAGTGGATAAAGCGTCGGCCTGAGGACTGAAGGGTCCCGGGTTCGATTCCAGTCAAGGGCTCGTACCTCGGCTGCAAGCTCCTCCCCAGCCCGGGCCCTGGTCGGGGCTCATGCAGGAGGCAACCAATTGATGTGTTTCTCTCACATCGATATTTCTCTCTGTCTTTCCCTCTCTCTTCCACTCTCCCTAAAATTCAATGGGAAAATATCCTCAGGTGAGGATTATAAAAGGAAAGAAAGAAAAAGAAAAGAGAAGATGGAGGAGCAAACCCTGACTCGGTCCCTCAGCTCTGGCCTCAGCATCCTGGGAGCACACGGAGATGGGCCAGCGTTCCATGCACCAGGACCCTTCAGGCCAAGCCTCTTTCCCACAGCGGTACAGCATGGGCCAGTAGGGGGCGCACCTGCTCCAGTGTCCAGGAGCCGTCCCTTTTCTTCAAGGCTCCACAGGAAATGCCTTGAACCGAAAACTTGGGGACAAAGACCTGAGAGTCCACTAGCCGGGAGAGACAGGTGCCACCAGGGCCTGGGCTCTCTTGGGGTCTCTGTCAAGTGGGTGTGAGTTGCGCTCCCAGGCTGTCCTGGGACTGGGACACGGTCCCCGCACAGCCCCAGCTCCGCCACTGGGAGATCTTCGGCTTCACTCCCTCCCGGTCAGTTACCCGCAGACCTGAACTGCAAACCTCACAAAAGTGAGGCCAGGCTCCAAAAATGCCCCCAGATGAAGAGGCTGCTGTCAACACGGAGAAAATGAGGCGTTGGGGGGGGGGGGCGTTAAATCTGCTCAGAAAACACCTGTGCTGGGAAAGGGGGGGCATGGGTCTTCTGAGACCTCCCTGCAAAATGGGATGGTGATCCTCGGGAAGCGGGGGTGAATAAAACGTGGCACGTAATCTCTAACGGA